GTAAGGTCCACTCCTCCATATGGAGACTCCCATCCCATTCCTTCAGTCTGGTCAGATGATGAGGTGCAGTTTGCTGATAAGGAGTCTCCAAACCTCACCACAACTCTAGGAGGGGTTATGTCTAATGGACAGGAAGTGCTCACAAGCTTTCCTAAAAAAATAATACAGGGAGTAAGGGACTTAAAGCATGTGATGAGTTTCACTCTACCATCTGAGTTAGGCGAATGTTAATGTGAGTGCAAATGGTTGCCTGTCTCTCTGTGTCAGCCTTGCGACAGACTGGCGATCTGTTCAGCGTGTACCCTGGCTTTTGCTCTATGGCAGATGGGATAGGCGACCCTGATAACGATAAGCGGACGAGAATAGATGCATGGACAATATGGGTGGTTGTAATATACTGACACGTTTTAGGGGACACCTCCCATTTAACTTTCAAGAGTGGTTTGATTTTTGATCACACTGTTCATAACTCTGGATTTAAAATATACACGGACATATTTAAGTTGTAAAAACCATGAAATTGTTTGTGTTCCTCTGTTACAACATTTATAGCTTCTCTGATCCTTAACATAATGGAAGACTTGGAGATTAAGAGATAATGATGGAGCTACAGAGGCCTTGAGGGAGAAACTAAGTGTCCCAAGTGAGATGAAACGGTGAACTACCTTTATTTTTGCATAAAGAACAGGTTATACTAAATTACATTAAAACTATGTAAAAATTTTGGGAAAACACAATACATCTAAAAATGCAGCATCAAAACATGTTGTCAACCAAATAAATGAATGAATAAATGAACAGGATGCTACAGTCTGATGTGATAACATCTGTAACAAGTCAAATCCTCTTGTGTCATCATTTCTGCAAAGATCCAGGTGATGAAATGGACAATAGGCTGTTGGACTTTTGCAAATGTGCAGCAAAGATAGTTCAGACGAGGGAAAACGGGACTGTTTTGACAGCAGTATGTACCAGTGACTCAAAATGAGTCAGGACATATGACTGAAACAAAGTCTTCTGTGTGGAAGACCAGAAGAAGCTAAGATTAAATCTGATAAAGGGTTGCATTTATAAATACATTTACACTCACAATGTTAGTTGTAAGCAAACTACTGTGTACTGTAAATGCTTAAAGAAAGCTGATGAAATAATGCTTTTTAATTTTTATTTATTTATTTATTTATTACATTTTTTTAAGCACGAGTGGACTAACCACCCCCTGAGCATGCATTCTTGCAATTTTCCCCTTACACTGTTACTCGTGAGGCAGGTTGTCCTTGGAGATCTGGAAAACTTCAGATCTTCCCCTAAATATTACGAAATGTAAAGAAATTATATAATCATAAGAAACTATTTAATTTTGGCATTCTCTAAAGAAAATAAGATCTCTGACAAATACCACCATGACTAGTAGCTATATAAATAACAGTTCAGTTTGTTGATGGGTCACATCAGATAATGTATAAACAGTTCATGTTAAAATGTCTTGATGCATGCTCAATCATCTAGGTAAGTAAATCTCCAAAAGTTGATTCTGTTCATCTGGACGTAGCGTTTTGTGAGAGAAACGTTTCGTCACTCATCCAAGTGACTTCTTCGGTCTCAGCTGACTGCAGGTTTCTTATAAACATTACATTACATAATGACTGAAACCAGCCCACTGAAGGAACAATGGGCTGGGAGGTCAGTTCCTTAATCTTAATTATGCAGTCAGTGGTCAGTGTTTGTTGATCAATGGTCATG